GATGAAGCCAGGGCTGTCTGTGGCAGAACAGGCAGAGGTGGATCGCCGCATAGCAGAGAAACAGAAAGAGAAAGAATTAAAAACGAAACAGAAAGAAGAAGAGGTGAAGAAAATAAAAGAAAAAAGAGAAAACTACAAAAAGAAATGAAGGAGAAAGAAAGAAAGTTGCAGGAAGAATTGAAAGCAGTTGAAAAAGAAGAAGAAGAAGAAGGAAGAAGTTGAACCAGATAATGGTCGGAGACTGTACAGACGACAGACAAAAAGAGGTGAGACCAGTGAAATTTGTGGCATAAGTATAGAGATGGAAGCTATGAACTGGTTGGACCAATTTGGTTATAAGACAGAAATGTTTGTTGAGTCGGAGGAAGACGGATATTTTTGTCACAAAATTGGCCTCAACCCCAGATCCTGCGGAGAAAGAAATCTTGCTACAAGCAAAGAAAGCAGAACTACATAACAAAATGGTGGCTGCGAACCGGCAGGAATTTGAAGAAAAGAAAAGATTGAAGGAATTTTTCAGCAGCAATTGCAAGAGCAAAAGGAGAAACAAGCAGCTGCAGACGAACGACTGTCCCTCCTCACCGATACCCTCCTCCATACCAACAAATCGTTCGCTGCGTTGTCAAAGAAAGTGCAGAAAGTTGAACACCACTAGTTTGTATTCGAAGGCGTCTGGAACTCCTTCCTGCAAAGATCTGCACAGGAAGTGGATAAACATATAATAACCTGTGTAGAAAAATTATATAAACAAATAAGCAAAAGATTATCGAGCCCCGCCGTAGTAAAGAATAATGGGTGGCGGCGGAGGAGATGGAGATGGTGGAGATGGAGACAAGAAGGAGGGAGTGCAACAAGAAGAAGCAGGGGAAGCAAGGAAGATTGAAGTAAAAGTGTCGTGGACTTACACGGGCAAAAAGGAAGAAAGTGTATTGCATTGGGATTGCGGCGGTGGAATCCTATGTCTATGGGCAGCGCATACCATATTGGGATAGAGTTCTAATGGCCAGTTCATGTATGGCCGGAGATGCCTTAAGAGTTTTGCAATCTCCTGGCAGAAAGAAGCAGGCTGCCAATCCATGGTAGAATACTCCCAGCAAACACGAATTGAAGACTTCTTTAAAGTTGTACGGGAAAGGCTTGAGGATAAAAATCTAGCCCCGAGAACCGAAATGCTGATTCTCAACATCGCGGATAGGAAGTGGAAGAGTGCGTCTGCACTCAAGGCTACCATGGATGAACTCTTGCAGTGCACTGAGCATGGACTCACCCCAACTCAAATTCTGAATAATTTTGCTAGAGCACTACCTGACCCACTTTGTACTCAACTGTATCCCCGTATGAGAAGTTCAGCAAGATCCCACTAGATCACGCTGGCTTCCTAGCAGAAGCAAATTATTGCCACTATTGGAAAGATCTGCAAACGGGAAAGAAGTGGCAGAACCGCACAATCTCAGGGAATATACCTGGGAAAGACAACCCCCTTCTGACCTTTGAAGAAGGTGTCAAGACTCTCTCCTACGACCACATAGATTATGGACTAGAGGGAGCACCCAACGGTACTGTAGTTCAGGAGGGGGACTATGCGGCCATTGCAGCCCGCGGGGGAGGGCGACAAGGAAGAGGCTGTGGCCGAGGAAGGGGAGGCCACAGACGTGGAGGAAGAGGACCCGACACCCAGAGGGGTGGTGGCGAAGGTAGCTACTACGTGTGTGGAAGGGGCAATGGTCCCTCGCAAGGTGGCCAAGGTTTCAACTCCACTTGGGGAAGAGGAAAAGGCACATGGTATGGGAATTGGGACAAACCATATCCACCCCATCCTGGTTTGTCGGAAGGCAGACCTTGGGGAGAAGTTAGGGATTACAGAGAAAGTCTCGCAAGAAAGGAAAGCTGCCGACCTGTGCCTTAAATGTGGTGAC